TTAACCTCCAAAACACACACACACGCAGAAACACAAACACACACAAATCCTCAAAACCTCCGTGAAGAATCAGGTCATCCCGGGAATGATTCATCCTTCATACTATTAAACACACACACACACACACACACACATACACAGACTGAACACATTCAGTGTGCCTCATTACATCAGTGTGTATCCATGCCTGAACCGACCTAATGACTGACGGGACACACTCGGCAGACTTACTGTACTCTGTCTGCAAGTGTGTGTGTGTGTATGTGTGTGTGTGCGCCGTGCCCTTGCTGCCCTACAGTACACTCACACGCTAATGGTTTATTAAAAGAAGATGTCGTGTGTTAGTAAGCCGAGGGGAGGAAAGAGCCGATGCTCATTAGGATTCATTAGGGGGTTCCAGTCGGTGACCGCTGTCTCGTGCACTAGAAAACCCCCAAATGTCCTTGAGTAGATGTCCCACCTGTTGGATGATGAGACGTCTTAACAACTTGTATCGGCATCTTTTCTGTAATGTTGAGTCACAGCAGGTTGTGGAGAGACCGACTCTACGTTAGTGTTACTTAAGCCATCCTTAATAGAGTTTACATTAGTAAAATATCAAATCATTAGCATGTAAAATGAGATTTTGATGTTAATTTCACCTCTTTCGTTCCTACACGAAAGCTTGAGCCAAAAATGAAAGAACATAATAAACTAGAAGGGCTTCTGGAAACAGGATGATACATATCTCCAGCCAATTAATACTAAAAGGAATTTTGGAATGATTCCCAGTCGCGTTATGTTGTTCATGATGTTCCCATCAACATTCAATTCATATTTGAACCAGAACATAGGAAATTCCGATAACGGACAAAGGGATGTCCGGTACCGGGATCACTGAAGGGATTTCACATTGTTCTCTCTTAAGTAATTCCACCAGGTTCTAAATATAGCAAGGTTTATAAAAAACAAAGTTTCTTTTGGAAAAGCTTTGAAGTTAGCATATCATAAGCTAAGACAGATGCTCTGTGACCCCTCGACTACCGAGGTGCTTTATAATCACCTCAGACGCTGACTCTGGGCTTTTAGGACACAATATGGTGAGCCATAAACTTTTAAGACCCAAAAGTCACGCACGCTTAATAAGCCAGATTGTCAAAGCTGCCGAAAATCACCAAAAAGTCATTTTCAACCCGCAACATCTTCGGTCATCAGCCAGCAATTGGAAGCTCCGTCTCCTTAATGGCGAAGCCAAAGCACGCACCGGTGATGGATGGCGTTGAGCGTTCATTCCCCACGCAGAGGACATTAAGGGACACACTCGTACGTCACAGTGTGTCATTCAGGGTCGCGCACTAGCTCAGCTGGTGTCAGAGAATACTTCTCCTGGTTCAGAAAGTAGAGGAGCCCCCTGCTGTGCTCAGCCAAAGGTCAACGCCGAGAGCTGGGAGCAGTTAGTCAGAATAGCGCGAGAGGTCAAACGACCCCGGTGCTCCTTTTCTTAACATTTCACAGCGGCGCTTTGGAGACGTTATTGCAGTCTTTAACACAAAGGCCAACGCTGTAAAGATTATGTATATGTAATGAAATACTGTGTCTACAAATCATCTACCTTCTTGTTTTTTCAGGGCAGCCAGGCGAAAAAACACGTCTCACACACACACTTGTCACTATTTTATTTTAAGTTGCACAAGTCGACACAAAGCAGCACAAAGCATCTATACTACCTGTGGCACTTGCAATTGTTTTTGAATAAAGAGCAAAAGTGACGTGCGCCGCTTTTTCATCCCTGAACTGTTTTGAGTCTGCCCTTAATTTCCCAGTCACGGTGACTCACCGTCGAGGAAATCCCTCACCAACCGAACACAAACGTGTGTGTGTGTGTGTCTGTGTGCTTTCAGTTTTGCCCCGGCGGTAAATGTCAGTGCTCCGCTGATCGAATGCTTGCGGACAGAGATGACTGTGGGGCGGCACGCCGTCGCCTCCGTCGGGGGCCGGGGCCCAGTGACCTAGACTCCTCCGACACCTCCGGCACCGCCGGCCGGACCACCCGACCGCTTGAGATTCCCCCCAGATCGTTTGTGACTCATCCTCCGTCGTCTTTGTGACCTGTTTTTTTCGGATTAAACCGTTCTTAATGGCCAATGTCAAAATGGTCAACCGCATCTGTGCTTGCAGATTTCCGGTAATCACCGCTACAAAAACCGACCCAGGCCCATTTTCATTTCGCTGCTGCTGGAAGAACGACGGGCGCCGGCGTGTGTGACCCAGACCTGAACTGTGCTAACAATGTGCGCCTGCCATTCACAACACACACCGTGGTGTGAGCTCATCGTTGGAAGCCACAGTATTGCTGCTCTGAGGTGCTTTCCGTGTGAATAATTTGGATTATTTATAGCTTTAAAAAATATCCGTGGCAGATTTCCTGGATTTGTTTCGACAGATTGGAGCGCTTTAGGAATACTGCCAGGTAGATGTGTGTGCTGACCTAGTTGTGTAATCGCAAGAATACACACACCAAGGTCACCCGGCATCCAATTATTTCATTTTGTACCCTTTAAATTTGATTAATTACAGAGTATTTTCTCAATTGTTTGGCTTATCCTTACTTTTGTGATCTTAAATTGGATTTTCAACATCCGCAGTCGTCCAGTCACTCAAAGTCTATACGAAGCAGTTGCTAAAGGAGCCACAGAGCGACTAGAAGCGCTTCGCTTTCCAAGGGCATCTCTGCATTCTTCTTTATGTGACAGGCAGTGAGGACGGTGCGTCGCGAAAGACGTGGTAAAAAGGCTCCCAAAGGAGAGGTGCCGTATTTGAGCTTATCGACGTTTCGGTCAAGGATACCTCAAGATCATCTCTGGAAGCCGGCAGATGCCACAGGCCAAAACCCCTATTAACCCACGCCGAAATGAAAATATCAAACAAAAAAGATGAGGCTGCTTTGATTCCCACCAGCGAAGAAAATAGAAGAAGAAAAAAAACAGTTTTAAGGGAGGTCAACTGTGATTAGGGCTGGTTAGTGTTTTGCACGCCCTTGTGGGGATTTACAGGATGTCGACAGCATCATGTGACCAGAAACAGGTGGTACCCTCATGTTCTATTCTGGGAGCCATGGACAGTACTCAGGCAACCGCTCTGCCAGCTCCATTCACACAAAGACCCGCTCCAACGTGGACCACGCTGCACGTCCTGAGTGCACTCTGCTGTCTCCTTCAGCGTCAATCATGCTGTAGATGCAGGGGGCAGGGAACACTTTTCTCTCTATTGACAGAGGACTCAATAGACCTCAGTACACATCTCAATGACGAAGATAAACATAGCTTTTTCTTTAACAGACTGAAACACCACGGCAGGTTTGTACCCTTTCTCTTTTGTTCGCTGCAGGGGATTTGGTTAAGAGAACGAAAAAGACCAACGCCCCAAATTGACACGCGTAACAGATTGGTGATCTCTTGTATAAAAGCGGGTGAAATCTTCCTTTCGGAGGCTTCTGCACAGTCTCACATTGGCCCAAATGTGTGGCTGCACACAAGTGAGATTAGAAACGCTGGCGGCTATAGCAGAGATCAACACACACACACACACACACACACACACACACACACACACACACACAAAGGCAACCGGCCTGGAACCTGGAAAAAAAAATAGTGGAGAAGGCCACAGGGGCACAGTGTGCAAACACCTCAGCTAATGTGGTTTTGTTTGCTGTCTCCTCTGCTCGGCCAAATAGCAGAGCTGCAGTAGTATGACCCCCCCCTTCTCGTCCATCTCCTCCTGGTGTCCCGGAGGCAGAGCTCCCACACGACAGACGGGACTCCCACCACACAGCCGGCAGGGTGGAGCAGACAGGCCGCTGCCAGCGACGCGCTCCGTCACGGAGACGACGCAGGACGCTGCTGTTTCCCCACTTGTGTAATGAGAATAAATATAGAACGTTATATGTGAAGGGATGAGGGGGGCGAAGACGAGGCCTTGAGAAGAGGTCTGTTCACACTTAACAAAGGGAAGAATACGATTTGACCCTTTTTCTTGTCTTCTCAGTAGAATGGAAGATTCCCCGATGTGTATTATTCACCGATGACGAGGGAAACTAAGCTGCTCGCTAGAAATAAGCGAGCGCTTTTGGGTTCACTGGGTTTAGTGGCTTGGCCGAATGCGCCGCTACAGAAAAACGGCCTTTGCATGCGAGTCAGTCGATACCTCCTCGCAATGTTCAGCTAATTCCGAGTCCGAGGACTGATTTGCCCCCCGGGAATCGAGTGTAGAATGAAGGATGACGATAACGATGCGGCTTGCTGTGACACTCTGGAACAACTGGAAGTCACAGGAGCCTTTGTGGTCCATTTGTTCCAGCAGAAACAATCTGTCAAAACACGTGTTTTAATTGAAACTGCTACAATCGGCCTATTATTTAAAGTGTAGAGAATATATTAATAAATAATTCCTCCCGGTGCTTGAGATTTTTTTGGAGTGTTAAAGGAGATTTTACAGAAGAGATACAAAATATCTTAAAATACATATTTCCAAATCCGTTCTTTGTGTCTATTTATGTAATACATATTTTAGTAAAGATTTATTTTTAAAATCCTTTTTTATTCTATTCCTGTGTATATACAATTGGGAAAGGCCTCGATTAAGAACAGTTTTACTTAAGACTAAATCATATGTAAGATAATATTCTTACCTAACCAATCTTAAAAGTTTCATGGGTAAATTAGTTTTTTTTGTTTTAGAATTTACAAAACAAAGTATTATCCAGAGCAAATGTTATGTCTTCAAACATATACTAATTCAGATGTAATGCAAAAGCTAATGTTGAATATTAAGCTGCTTTAACATACTTATTACTTATTAGCCTCAGACCAAACTACAAACAAACTCCGTATTTCCGTCTTTTAACGGCACTATTATACTGTTTACTGTCATTCCATGTGAAAGGGGAGGGGCTTAGTCCCGGCAGCAGGAGAGCCGCAGCCATTGGCTCCCCGCGACCTTATAAAAGCGGCCGAGCGGCGCGACTCCGCCACAGAGCGGAGACGCCGCGCAGAGGACGACCCAGATCCCCGCAGCATCCCCACGACACGCCCCACGCAGGATTGGACTTTTCTTTTCTTCTTCTTCTTCTGTTACCTCCGCCCCCCCCTCGCCTCCACCTTCATCCCACTGCTGAAATCAATGAAGGAGAGACGATCGTGTCAGAATCTATCTCTGAAATCCGGCATGGATCCCAGTCAGAGTGTGAAGTGTAAGATCGTGGTGGTGGGGGACAGCCAGTGCGGGAAGACCGCCCTGCTTCACGTGTTCGCCAAGGACTGTTTCCCCGAGGTGAGAACCCCCCCCTCCCTTATCCTCCCTTACCCTCCTCGCTAATTAACCTGTTTTGGACGAACACGTGACCACCGAACTGATGTGTCCGATGTTCCGCCGCTGCAGCAGTGCACGAGGGACATGCATTGAATCGTTATACCAGTATGATGAAGATGTATACATGTTAGTTGTGCTATAGCATGTGTGAGTGTGTACGATGAATGCAGGTGTTGCTGTGGTAACGGTGCTTATTATTATTAGTATTATTATTATGGTATACTGATTTAGAGTTACTCGGTGCGGTCATTTCCGACTAAAGTTTGACGTTTTGCGATATTAATGTTTCCTGCAGAGCTACGTCCCCACCGTGTTCGAAAACTACACGGCCAGCTTTGAAATCGACACGCAGAGGATTGAGCTCAGTTTGTGGGACACCTCAGGTAATTATGCCGAACCCCCCACCCATTTCCCCCATCCCCATCCACCACTTCCCTTCTTCCCTCACCTCTGTGCTTCATCTTCACAGCAAATCATTCCGGTGAAATGTCCGGACATGTCCAAACACGCAGGTCGCTTGCACAATCCCTGTGTGACCCCTGTGGACATGCGTACAGCGATGATTAGCAATGGGCAGCGGGGGTCAAGTTGAATCTGTGTTTTCCCCTAGAAATGGCACATCTGGGACATTTGAAGAGGCCCCGGCATTCGTTTTTAAATAACAAAAATTCATCTCTGACCCTGTTTTAATCAACAAAACTGGGTTAATCCCTAACTCATATTCCAGAGTTGCGGCCCTCTTGCCCCCCCTCTTGCCCTCAGATTAGGAATTGGATCACCTTTTACCCACATAGTTTTAGTTCAGTGTGAAATGCATCGGTGCTGGATTTGATTTATGATTTCTTGCCGGCTGAGGAAAAGCCGAAACGGGAAAGGAAAGGAAAAATAATGACAGGCCGAGCGGAGCTCGTACATCTGGAGAACACACTTTTGAAATTCTTCCAACTGCAGGGTTTTTTTTGGGGGGGGAGTTTTTTTGTTGTGCAACACTCTTGTTGGTTGGACTTTGTGTTCGGGGTCCAAACCAGCTGCTGCAGCCCATCTTGTGTGCTTTAAAATGTGTGTGTGTGTGTGTGCGTGTGTGTAAACAAACCCACTTTCCCCATCCATCAATGCCCAAGCAGTGAATAGCACAGCAGTCAGGCGTGAGCGAAGCATATGGTGTGTGTGTGTGTGCGTGCGTGAGCATGTGGTGTGTGTGTGTGTGATGGGCAGAGACAAGCACCGAGCCAGCTGTCTCGGGTCTCTAGTCTGGAATTCCTGAGCAACTTTGTTGAACTTTAAAGATCTGCGTGAAAAAAAAACCCGCAAAGCGAAACCACAGAAATTCAATGGCTTCTTTGAGCTTCGAGAGCTCCACAAAGTTAAAAAATCTGCCATGTTTGTTTCGGTGCAGGTCTGTTTCCCAGCTTAGCAAGCGAGCAAAAGCAAGGAGGTCATGTTTCAAATTCTTCGCCTGTACTGTGTGTGTGTGTGTGTGTGTGTGTGTGTGTGTGTGTGTGCGCGCCCTGAAATGAAAGTCTGCCAGGGTGAGAATTTTGTTTTATTGCACGGTGTTGGCCGGCCGCCTGGAGCCATTTTTCTTTTTCTCTCCGCTTCATAAAACAGCGAGGCTGGGCCAGGGGAGCCGTCGTAGACCAGTGGGTCTGAGATGAGGCCAGACCCCCAACCCCCCCCCAAAAAGCCCACACGCACCTCCTTTAATCCTCACCCCCTCCCAGTATGCGTGCACACACACACACACACACACACACACAGACACACACACACACACACTCAGAGATTGATACGGCCTTCGGCTCAACTCGTCCCTTTGTAGAGACAATCCCATCGATCTCTTATCTCTTGAGGTGTGCCGGGAGGGGGGGTGTGTGTGTGTGTGAGACCCCCATCATGCACTGGGACAAAGACCAGGATGCTGAGATGAACACAAACAAACCACCCCCCTCCCCTCTCAAACACGCGCGGTGGTGGTCTTTGTTCTGCGGTGACGAGTGGCCTAATGAGATGGCGGCCGTGTGTGTTTTAAAAGGGAGGGTGCTGGGAGTAATTTGGGTCATTAAGGTAAATGCATGCCTGCCGTATTGCCTTCCATTTGCTCCCCCTCCCCGCCCGGCTTGTCGTCTTTAGCTCTGCTTCCCAGGCCTCGGGGCGGGGGCCCCTTTGATGCTTGGCGCGTCTCTCGCCAGCGGAGGAAGCGGTTAATGCCGTCTGCCCGCATGTTTAAAATGTGCTGCCAAAGGTGTTTTGTGTGAGAGGTAAACAGGAGGACAGGAAGCCGGGGAATAAACAGTGCGGCGCCTGTGGCCCCTCTCAATACCTGCCGAGCAGGTGATCTCAGGCAGCGGAACCGCAGCCGGCAACTACGTTCATTCACTAAAATGACAGAAAATAGCAAGAAAATCAAGCTTTTCCAAAAGCCCGGAGAGCTTTCATTTTCAACCACACACAGAGAAAAATCCTTTTATACAGTACAGGATGAACGCAAGCTTCACTAAAGTCCTACAGGGGACGACGCGGGCAACCGTCGGCCGTTTTTACCATCCGGGAACTTCCAAAGGAAACGTGTGGACCCCCACGGTTTCTCATTTGGTAATACCTATCCTGCGGAAAAACCCATAGGGGAATTCTTGTTGTGTGTTCGGCAATGAAAAAGCGACCCACTTTCAACCACGGAGGGGGGAGGAAGGAGTGAGGTAAAAGGTAGATGTGTAATGCTAGTGGGCCCCAGCTGGGGTTTTCCTGGAGGCCCATCTCGAGTACATGTGCGGTGCTCCTTGTAATGTTGAGCAGTTGGGCTGTGGGACTTTTCCCGTGCATTAGGCGAAGTTCCCCTCAAACCAACCCCCCCCCCCCTCTCCCCTTTCGCTCTCTTGCGTCGGCGGCCATTGTTGCCTCGGATCACATTTCTGCGCTCGGCGAATTGGAGCCGCATGTCTGGCATTCCTCAGACTAAAGGTTTCTACTTCTACTTCTGCCTACAAAGACCCCCATTGTACCCGGCCCCGGGGTTTAGGTCCTTGGCGGAGAGAAAGCGCAGTGGCGTGGCCCTACTTTGTTTCCAGGAGGGGGGGGGGGGTTGAATCACACTGGAATTTGCCGTCCTGGCGAGCGAGCCTTTAGCCGGCCGGTGGCGATGCGGCGGATAAACTTGGAGGACAGTGGAATTTCGGGATAGCTGAATAAGCTCTTTGTCTGCTTAATGTGCTGGAAGGACTTTCTGCACGATGTCCCGCCGGACATGAGAGTCCTGACCCTGAACACCTCGCACTCGCGGGCCGGCCGGCCCTGTTTCAACTTAGCCCATCTCTGATGGCCAATAAAATTCCTCCAGTCGCCCCTATCCTGTCTTGCATTAATATATTGACTATGAATATTTAGCATTGTAAAGTAGCACATAGCACACAGCACAGTATGCATGAAAACATGGCAGTTACTGCTGACACCTCAGTAACCACGGCAACGACAGCGAACGTGTGTGTCGGAACCGCTCTTCCTCCTCCTTGGTTTCAATTGTGTCTAAATGCTGAAGGTCAATAGTAGCTGGGGGGCTGTTGCCGTTTTGCTGTTTCTACAGGTGTCCCTGAAGGCGTAACAAACCCCCCCCGCCCCCCCTCAGCTATGTCAGCTATGCCAGACCATCAGACCCCCTGTCGGGTCGCAGCTGGCTCACCTCTGGACCGCTGTGGTGTTTTCTTGAGGGTTTCCAACAGAAAGTGGGATGTCTGAAGGCCGTTTTCCCGACGGGCAACTTCAGGGACGCTTGAAGTCTTTTGTCGATTGGTTGAAGTCGAGAGAACATCTGTGGATTTGAATTTAGAGCAACAAATACGCCAACAGAGACGAGTGGATTTTCCGACTGGTTTCCCGTGCGTCAAGCGTGACTTTTCATCCCAGCTGTCAATGAGGCAATTGTTGTTTTTTTTAAATACATTTCCTGGAAAAAGTTTCTGTGCAGTCATGGAGATACATTCAGTTTGTCATCAGTGGGAAGTTCGGTCCTGCCTCGGTGTGCTCTCACATCGTTGCCATGTGCAAAGCACACAAAGGGGAACATGTGTAAGAGGAGGCGGGAGAGTGTGTGTTAAAGGACGGACGGGGTGTGTGTGTGTGTGTGTGTGTGTGTGTGTGTGTGTGTGTGTGTGTGTGTGTGTGTCATCGTCCAGATTTAGAGATCCTGGCGGGGAACAATGACAGGAGCTAATTAGTTGACGCTCACCAGGTCTTGTGTGTGTGATAGCTATGGGATGTCCTCTTATCTTTCCGCTTGGCAGGAAGATGACCTCAACGCAGTCACGACCGCGCTGTAAACGGCAATCAAGGCGGAGAATGCCTCCTTGTGAAACCCTCACGTCTCAAATAAAAACACGTTAGCTTAAAATGTACAGCTATAAATACATCAATCCCCTGGTAACACCAGGTAATATGTGCATCGACTCATTGAAACCACGCACGCTTCAGCCGGCCACCCAGATATGTGCGTCTCCTCCCACTGGGTCGGGGCAGAAGAATTAATTAGTCTCAAAATGTCAACCGGTTCCTTTTCCGTTCAGTCACAGGGTCTTATTTCTTTCCAGTGATTGGTTCCAGGCAGTCGGGGCTCAAGAGAAAAAAACTTCAAACAATGCAACGCGGCCGTGATTGATTGCGAGACTGCTGTGGAAAATGGGGAATAAATTCTTTCAGGGGATCCCACATTCCTCCTCGCCTTGTACTTCCTGTGCCGTGTCGACGCCGGCTCTGCGAACGATCCTCGTGGGGGAAGGAAAAAAAAAAATCTGAAACGCATTATGTTCACATCACGACGTCAAAATAATTCATTCCGTGCCGTTGCTGGCGTCCAAAACATCCCTGACTTTGAGTTTGTGAAGTGGGGAAAGGCAGCGAGGCATGAGGTGCGTCCTTGGCCGGCCTCCTGCATATCAACTGTTGGGAAAGTGAGTCTCAGAAAAAACATCAGAGTTTACGTCCAATAATCCTCCTCATACATTTTTACTTTTTCTCACTCAATGTGCGCACAGTTTCGACCGTAATGTGTGTTATCCCCGTTGGATGGAGCGGTGGCCCGACCCGCCCGTTAGATCCCCACACCAGCCCGACTCGACACAACGGGATTGTGTGATTGTGCACAAAGATGTGGTTCAGATTTCTGTGTGCGGCAGCGCTTCATTTATTCTGCTCTCGTACGCCATCGTCATGCTCCGGTCCTGGAAGGAAGCAGGCAGTGTGTAACCGGTGTCGTCTCCCATCCGGACCGTTTGGGTGTGTGTTTGTGTGTGTGTGTGTGTGCGCGCACATTCCTGACTGTTCTCAACGGCAGTGTTTATAAAGGACCTCCCAAGGGGAACCTTCGGTTACCAAAAACAAAATTCTCAGGATTTTTTGGCAGCCGTGTGTGTGTGTGCGTGGTCGGCTCTGGCTCGTCATGTGATCTTGACCCACCTTGACGTGAGGCCACCCGCCCCCCCCCAGAGACGTTCCAGTCTGCCGGCGAGCTGGGCGTCTCCCTCACACATGTTTTCAGTTTTCTTGGAGGACGGGAGTCGCCTCCTAGCCGTGAAGTTCTCCGTCTCCGTAGTCAGCACATTTTTCCGACTGATGCTGCATTATTTGTTTTTTCTCCCCCCGGTTGCTATGGATTATGGCGGAACTGCAATCCTGCCGTATGAGAATCCCCCCCAAAAAATGCTGAGGAGTTTAATGCGATCATTTAGGCGTGTTCATTGATTCTGTTAGTGGTCTTTCTGTAGACAGAAACCACATCTACTTCAGTGCAGGTATTTCCCTTTTTCCAGTAATTCTGCCCTCTTGATCAGATGCATACTATTCGTTCTGCATCATGTCTGAAGACTTATTCAGCTTGTGCCTTTTTCTTTTGTTGCAGGATCTCCGTACTACGACAACGTGAGGCCTCTCTCCTACCCGGACTCGGACGCTGTCCTCATCTGTTTCGACATCAGCCGCCCTGAGACACTCGACAGCGTACTGAAAAAGGTACTTTTGGAGTTGTTTTAGCGAATATTTGGCCCAGACAAATGGGAGAGGTTCCGGTCAAATGTTAGGCTTTTGAGTTCAGCATTTGAGCCAACCAGAAGGGACACAAGAGGGTGGAGCTGAGCGCTACAAAAGAGGACTATTACCAGGCAACAAAATTGTTAGAATTAACTTTAATTAACATTGTGAAAGACAAAAAACAACAGTGTGGTCGTCTGTCAATCCCAAGGTGGCCACACCCTACAGCCAACCAGGCTTTATACTCTGTTTGCCTTGTCTTTTTCTTTTTAAGATCACTTTTACACAATCATTCAAGCAAGGATCATCCAGCCTTTGAGAAGCTTTCCTAGCCGTTAAGAATTCCTCCACCGTGAAGTCTTTGATTTTGCCTGATCCGCTGACAAAGGCCGGGTCTACAGTCTAGACATCTTTCTGCGAGCTCAGTGCCGGCGGAGCTCGTGGTGTCGGGACGCAGTGTGACTCGGGGCTTGCCGGGTTGAATCCCCGCAGCGACTGAATTGGCGTAGCCGCCGGTTACTCACTTGTGAAACCGTTGTTGTTTTTTTTGTGAACAGTGAAACACACCGGGCATGTGTCCTCTGGTGGGGAGCTTCCTGTTTGCACGTTTTTCTAAGTTACGCGCGTTTCCTGCACGTTACGTCAGGCCACGGGTCGTGTTTTCGGACGACCCAGATTGTAATTCAGCGTCGGCTTTTTCGGTCAAGTGGTGTTTGCGCAGACAGAAAGTGACACATTGTGCACAACAACTTCCCCTCTGGATGTTGATCATCTTGATCCCCTGACCGGCCAGCCGGGCCTGAGGCACATTACCCTCAGCTCAAAGCCCCCGGAGACACGCCATCTATCACAGAGCGTTTATTGTTGTCCGGGGGGGACACAAGGATTATTTGTAGTTCCCTTCCAGGGTTGAAGGCATGAGGGGCTCCAGGAAGCGGCAGATTTAACCTTTGTGCTTAAAGGAACTTGTGACGGGTGGTCGGGGGGGACGATGGAATTCATGGGCTGTCTGGAAAACATGCACATTCTGGACCACTCGCAGCGGAAAACCGAACTAGACTCTCTGGATGTTGCATGACACAAGCTGCTTTCTTCCTCCGCAGTGGAAAGGGGAGATCCAGGAGTTTTGTCCCAACACCAAGATGCTGCTGGTCGGATGCAAGTCGGACCTGCGCACCGACCTGAACACGCTGGTGGAGCTCTCGACCCACCGGCAGACGCCGGTCTCTTACGACCAGGTAAACAAAGCAAAAGTGTGATCTCACTGGAGACGTTCAAGAATAGTCGCTCTTTGTAACTGAACGGTTGCTGAACCCGCAGAGAGGAAAATTCTTCTTAAACTGACCTACAATCCTCCTCCTCAGGGGTCCAGCATGGCCAAGCAGATCTCGGCGCCCTACATCGAGTGCTCGGCCCAGCAGTCGGAGAACAGCGTCAGGGACATCTTCCACGTGGCCACGCTGGCCTGCATCAACAAGAGCAACAAGCACGTGAAGCGCAGCAAGGCCCCCCGCGGCAACAAGAGGATTTCACACATGCCCGGCCGGCCCGATTTGGCGGCCGTGGCCTCGGACCTGCGGAAGGACAAAGCCAAAAGTTGCTCGGTCATGTGACTGATCGGACCGAGGGGGGTCGGACTGAGGAAGAGGGCGGGGCGCAGCGCGAGCAGCGAGCTGTGGGGCGACGCTCTTTCCCGCATGCTGAAGGCCGCTCGTTTGTCCGGAGAGGGGTTTTATAAGCTTCGATTCATGTTGTTGGAACACTCTGCACCAGTGAAAACTCAACGCGTAGCAGCATCCCAACCCACATTGCCCCCCACCCGGCCCCACCCCACCCCGCCTCGCCCCACCAGACGATGAAGCTACCCCTTCAGCAAGCCAATTTGCTCGGGAAGTGACCCGCTTCCTCCCGGGATGGAGGCAGGAAACGAGCAGGCGGAGTGATGTCACGAGGAGACGCTCACTCGTGAACGGATGAGGGGGTCTAAGAGCATGTGATCATATGAAGGAGAGCCAAAGGCGTCGATTGGGAAGTGTGTGTGTGTGTGTGGGGGTGGGGGTGGGGAGGGTTTGCCGTGTGTGCCGGATCAAAGACCCTTTTCTCGGAGACTTAGTATGGACCCGATTCACTGTTCCCCCCCCCTCCCTCCCCCTTGTTCCCGTGACTGTTAAGACACAAGAAGAGGAATTTGTCAGTGCTGCACGAAGGAAACCTGAACGCCGCGCCGTGTCCCCTGTCTCTTGACATGCCGTCGGTATAATGTGAGGTCATCGGCGTGTAACCGCACCCTTGTTTCGTTTAAGCTTCGCCCCGGTTGAGTTTCTGCCACGCTGAGCGATCCTGATTTACAGCCCCGCACGTTGTAGCAGCGGTCGGACCGCCATTAATTCACGTCGACCGCCACGCCAAGACCTGTTATCCAAACTGCTCTCCAGAGTCCATTTTTACAAACAAACGTGGTGTCACTTGAGTAACTGTCATTGCGCCTCAAAATACCCTTTTTAATGGACCCCTAATGGGTCGGAAAGCTTTAGTCAAAGTGTAAATGTGTCTAATTGTGTAAAGTCTGACGGTCGGTTTGAGTCATTTTTCCACTGCACTTTGGGGAGGAAGCGCATGTGCAAGCGACAATTAAAGCATGTTTATTAGAAGCTGAAAATACATCAGGGCCTCTGCAGTGTAAATTTGTGTTAAATTTGTTGGGGGGGGGGTTTACAATTAAGGATCTGTTTAAATATCAAACGTCGTGGATGCACTTTCAATGTAACCTCCCCGATTTATATCTTGCTCAAATGGCCGTGCTGTGACATTCGGCTGCTCAGTGGCCCATCTCTTTAACCGGATCAGTTGTCCCTTTCCCCAGTGTGCGTTGTCATGTTTTCTTGAATGTTGATGTCACCTTCAGTTGTCTTTGCCAATGTTGTCTGCGCAGTATTTATTGAATTATATATTTTCCCTTTAGAATAAATGCAAATCAAATTGAAGAAAATTGCGTTTGCTGTTTATTTGGGAAGAAACCCGTTGTTGTTCAATTGCAAACCGATGGTGTGGATGAAGGAGTCTGAGGGTATTATTTTAACCGTTGGGGTTTTCCACCAGATTTCACACTTTCCTCTGAAAGTAAACTGCATCACTTGCAATCATGCTGTTGAGAATGTTGAAATCCAGATGAAAAGTAGTAGACTTTATCGATTCATCTGCTCTCAGCAGATCTCTAGAACATTAACAGTCATCATTAACAGTCCCATCATCAATTGTCTACTTCACATTAAATGCACAGAAGGTATTCATTCTTTACTGGCTGTCTTTCTCCATTGGGACAAAGGACACACCTGTGATGTGTTGTCATGATTTGCACAGGTGGAGCTTCTATGAGGCCTGTCGGGTTTCCTCATCCGTAGGACCTGGGGCTCTAACAGGAAGGTGCCTTTCAACCTTTTTATTTGCTCGCGAACCAAAGCTCTTTGACGCACTGACAACATGCCGGGCGATAAACCGCACATTTATTCCCCCCCCCGGTTTATTTGTGCTGCGCTGGATTACTTTTCGCGCTCATCCAGGGTGTGTTTAAGGTGGTTTATTGACGCCCAGGCGGGGAACGAGCTCCAGTCATGTCAACAACACTGTAATTCTTTGTATATAGATCACTGAATTAGCTCAATTTCATTGTTGGTGACTCCACAAAAGCCTTTTCAGTTCATTGAGACTGGCTTAAAGGTTGTCATAGCAACAAGTACTTCAGTCAGTATAAAGGCTTGTTCTAAAGACTACAGTTATTTTGCTTCTCAGTCCAGTCATACACATAATGTTCTAAATACACAAGTTAATAAAAGTATTATATAACTAATGTAAGTCTTCTGAAATAAACCCTAAACATTTTTTTTAAATGTTCCTTTGTTAAAGCGCTAATGAGATGAACAAATGGAAAATACACTGGAAAGTGTCACGAGTCCCGTGTGCAGAGGCACTGAACATACTGAGAAAAACACAGACTCACTGTGGCTGACGCACTGACCGGGTCGGAGCACCTGACCGCCTCGACATCGCAGTGAGAAGCAGCTTCTGTAGCAGCTTTCGTAGCAGCTGAACGGCACAGAAGGTTCTCTGTGAGTCAGACTGCTTCCTCTCGTCTGCTTGGAGAGCTCCGGTATCACTGGCAGCGGACAATGCATGCAGGCCTTGGAGAATTCCCAGGTGGGGGGGGGCGGCGGCGGGGGATGCTGGGCATGCGGACCGCTTTTCTCACACAGCGAGCCTATATATCACCGAATGACTTCATCACATGCATGCGGCCTATGATGTATAAGGGGGGGGGGGGGACTTGGCAGTCCGGTGAAAGATGAATGTCAGAGATGAAAACGCTCTCTATGGCTGCCCAGAGGAAACTTTTTTTTTCCCAAGTGAAATGCATTTGTATTAGACTGAAGTGATATTTGTTGTCTTAAGACTCATTTCTCATGTTTCTAAGTAGACCGGCATACCGTCGAGTCACAGTTCTTATTTCAAGTTTTTTTCTCTAGTTTATTCTTCTTGCTTGTCACAGTTAAGGCAAAGTTTATTGTCGTTGAGGCAACGTAGCTTAGCTGTAAACGGAGGAAACAGCCAACCTGGCTTTGTTGAAAGATGCCTATCAGGATCTCCAAAGCTCAGAAACACAAGTGCCCCAACGGCCCAAAGCCACTCACGCCTGCTATTTTAAGGGCTTTACCAGTTATGTATATAAATGTATACATTGGAAGCTTCTTGAGGGTTTTGGACAAAGTGGGAATGTGTTTTAAATAAAGCGATTCACTGTGTGTTATGAAAGCTAAACATCAACAAGTTAGGAGTATTTAGATCGACAAAACAGTGATGTGATAACACATTTCTTAGAATCAACTTTAAAAATTTGAACTGAAATAATTTATTTCAAATCAAATCCCTGAAATGTAACGTAATGTTTTCCCCTTTGTGTGCGACCTGATGTTATTCATGTATTCATGAAGGCTAGAAGAACCGTTTCTATTGACTACAGCTGTAATCAGGTTTGAAATCACTCCTTTGCTTTTACACTGCAGGGGCTTCCTTCCACGGCTGGTTTTGCATCTATTTTCACCAGAAACATAAGGGACACATTCCAGATACTCTGCTGTGGAAGATGTAGATCATATAACACTATCTCCACCCAGATTATAGCCGCATAAACCAGACCGCCTGACATGTTGGGCGCTTCAGTGACGGACACAACTAACTGGAAAAAACGGGTTTCTTGCCATTATTGCCTCCATTGTTGTTCTTTTTCATGCGCTCTCTGAAACGCATGAATGCAGCCGTTCACCATTGACTCGGCATGATAGCGGCGGTAGACCGACACTGATGCCTTTCAAAGAACCCAACAGCTTTGTGAGAATTTAACCTTAATTCCACAGCCGGGTCCAGCCTGTAACGGTATTTAGCCTGACCCAGATACTGTAATAAGTAAGGAATCCAACTAAAGCACAGCTCTGGGCTCAACCACTCCCAACCGAGGACTGAACTGGCCCAGAATCAGTCTTTAGCGAGTCTCCAGTCCACCCTGTCCTGTTTGTGTCCCGCGGCGTCTCATTTTACATACGCATGGGAGGTGAAGTGAGCTAATCCATTGATTGCAGATGTGCTGTGAGTGATTTCCGCCGTTTTCCCAAGATTGAGTGCTTATGATTCGCAGCTGTTCAGAAACAGAGTATGCTTTTATCGACTTGTAAGTGTTGTGGCTTTGAGGAATGGCCATCACCTTCAGAATAAATTATCTAATCAACTATTGCATGGATTGTAAGGGAAATCGTAACAGGCATTCATGGTCCCCAGTGAAATCCTACTGATTTAGCGACTATTTACTTTCCCTCTGACAATGCTATGGGGTTTGACCTTTATGTTTTTTTTAGTTAAACATCTCCATAACTATTGGGTCAAGGTCCCTGGAGGATGAATCTTCGCAATTTGATAACCTCTGACGTTTTGAAATATCTCAGCTATTGCTACGTAATTTAGAACTTACATTCATGGTCCCCAGTGGAATTCCACTGACCTCCTTCGGCAACGCAAGGAGGTAGAGTTAAATGTCTCGACAATTATTGGATTGGAAGGAATTTTGGTACGAGTTTCACATATCCTGCAATATGTATTTTAGGTTTTAAGTGAAACACCTTCACATGGCGATCTATCCAGTAGTTGCTAAGGTGTTTGTTTTGGATATTCATGCTCCTCACAGCATGGCTGTAAACTCTGAGACAAATAGACTGGCAATGACTCACACACACACATATGGCGGTGGCATTTATGTGAGGGAAATGTGACAAGAAGCCACTCCTAATCTGGCACATGGAAAGGTTGAGCTCCATTGTAACGTTTGGCAGCTCGGTCCCAAAAGACAAAAATTGCATGAAGAAGAGAGAATTGGAGAATCGTGTGTTCATATTCCTTTGTTTGCGGCGGCCTTTCAGTCCATTCATCTGACAAGTGACAAACTGTGTGCTTTGAAATGGAGCTGGAAGGCTTCGGACATTTAACAGGATGCCATTCCTCTTTGGACATTTGTCTTACTTCCTTATAGATAAGTGTATCAAGGCTTGCAGAAAAAGAAGCTCATGATTGCATCGTTGACTCTGATTCATGAAGGGCGGGAGACCGTTTCGAAGTGTCGCTTAGGAATTCCCGCACGCAGTTTTGACAAATTGTTTTAATATTAAGCCGTAGGCTATAGCCTTTTCCCACAAATATCTTTATCTGTCTACAGTAATTGACTTAGAGGCAGATGGAAACTATTAATCACCATCTTTGTCGGAGTGAAGATGCCCAATTTTTCCTCATCTTGATTAGGAAATAAGATCGTCGGGATGAACTGCTATGGAAAGGCAACAACTCGATTGAGCCGGAGTCATTCATCACCTGCATATTGCTTTTTGCGTGCGATCGACCCGCCGTGAAGTCGAGGCTGAGGTTGAAGCGAGTCCGTTGTGCTCAATGCGAGCTTCCCCCAAGTTGTGTGTGAGAGCAGCCGCCAGCTTCAACCACCCCCTCCCACCCCCCCAACATACACAAAGATTTTCCATTTTCCAACAGGACCAGCTGGGGCGGACGCAGACTGGGAGCGTGTGGATCAATAGGTCTAAACTGGTGGTGCATTGTCCCCCCCACCACCCACCGCCTCACCCAAATCCTCCTGCCTCAGACAATCAGTCATGCACAGCTGTAAAATAGAGACGGGCTGAAAGCGAAACAATGGGCCTTTTTTTCTTTTTAAAGAATAAGCTGTTTGCCGGAACCGAGCCGAAGGTCTTGGGAAAAGAGGATGCAGAGGAGAACGAGTTCCCTGCGGCTCGGGGCGCGCAGACGGCTTGAGCGCTAATGACAGGCCTTTAGTTCATTATGGACGAACCGGTGCAACGTGGGAACGGGAAAAAATATATATTTAACCCGTCCTAATCTTCATCTAAAGTTCTGACACAGCGTGGCAGAGGAACAAAGTAGAGCCTTTGCATGCAGCAAATGTTTTTTCCTTTGGAAATTAATTTGAAGGAATAATTAGTAAAGACTTTGTACTCATGGGGTCTCACGTTGGCTCACGTTGCCAGATCACCAGAAAAGTTCCTGACTCATGTTCAATCGGATGCAGTTTGCTAGCGTCGGGGCAATTCTGTGGAGTTTGTCCCAGCTGGAACACGGTACAAGCCAATAAATGCTTAAATTTCCACCCAACGAATAATTTTTTACATCCTCTCCTGTTCGGTTCGGTGTGCCACGTGTCTGATCCCCACGCTGGACTATGACCCCCCGCTTCACCTCCTCTCCTCGCCATCTGCTGCCCGGCGTGGCCTTTTTTGGTCGGGAGCCAAACTCGACACATGTTTGAGCATGTTGTCAGCAGAGAGTCCTCGTGGCCTGCTTAAGCTCAAAACGTATGTCCTTCATGGCAATTATATCAGATGACATCATGAATGGTCCGGTGGGCCGGAGCCAACGATCCGATGG